AGTTTTCTGGTAAAGGTAAAGGCTCATCGCGGGCGGAAGGGAAGAAGGGAAAACATTGGAAAGGTGCAAAACCGGTAACAAATTGTCGCCTGCCGCTTTTGTCACGAGTCGAAGTGACGACATGGTGCACGAACCGCGACGTTGCTTTTGCTCACAATGGCTCTCTAGCTGGCCGGAAGAAGTTGGCGTCGTTCGTAGTCCCTTTATACCGATGTTTCTTCTTTTTTTCTTTTTTTTCTTCTTCAAAGAAGCAAGATTCCAGGAATCTCTCTCGCAATAATAGTCAATTATATTCCCGTTCTCATCGCCCAACGTGTGATCCGACTGGCGAGTTTAATGAATTTAATTATGCTCGTCGATCTGTTCTTCCCTCGGTCGTATAGTGTTAACAATGGTCAACGGATACCTCGGAGTTTCTCAGCCAAACTTGTATCTTGCGTGGTAACTCCATTTTGGAACTGTTGTGTCGAAATTTTTATCTGAATTTTCGCGAACGTACACAGCATCAAAAAGCGTGATCTGCGTACGCTAAATGACGTTTTAGCGAGAAATTATACAGCTGTGGATCTTCACTCGCGAACTGCGAGTCCCCATTAGGAACAATTCGACGTATCATTTATCACTCGGTGGAAAAGTTCTCGTTCGATCTCGTGTTCAAGCGCCGTGACGTTTTATAAATATTTTTCCATAACATCGTGTTGAGGACGAGTTTGTAATTGATGATCGTTCTATCATTCGTGATTCACGTACAGTTAACTTGGAGCAGATCCAATCTAATGATACACGCATCGTAATCTGTTTCACTTGGAGCCTTCTAACGCGAGTTAGTTGTTTAATGTTCCTTTTGACTCCATCATTCCGAGTAATCATTCATTCCCCTTTCGTCGCAGCGATTTTTCGTCGGCGTTTCGATAAATCTTTGATCAAAACTTTTGAACTTGGAATTTCCAACGCGACTTGCACAATTTTTCACGCCAGTGTCAGTCAACGAAACGCGAAATGATCAATTTTTAGTTCGCTCGGAGGAACGTTTATAAGACTGGAATTTATCCCAGATATCTTGGGTAGAATAACAAATAAGTTAATAGGCCGTAAATCTACGTGTCACGGGGGGAAATAAATAAATATAATTTGCCACAGTATGCTTCTTGAGAACCGGGCAAAGAATTGAAGAAAATGTGTCACGAAGAATTTCTAGCGACGTACATAAACCTCTTTCACGGGCTGAACTGAATCGCGTATTTATTATTATTATTATTATTTTTTTTTCATTCGAGTACGTTGCTTTGGTCTTGAAACAGTTGCGCACAAGCGGTGGAACCGCAAGCCAAGATCGTCCAAGACCAATTAACGACGATCGGCTTGGAAATTCTAATGGCACGATACTATGCAATGCAACTAGGCAACCTCGGGCAACGCCTAGTGTAAATTACGTTTCCAGTGAGTGGTCATATATGCTGGCCAATGCCTCCTTCTTCTTTTCCTGGCTCGCCGCTCGAGGAGAAGATGTCGACCGTCTGTCATTAGCGTAGAGATCGGTTTTCGATCAAGTTTCGTCTCTGATAAACCAGCGATCTCTATTTTCTAAATATATGTATATCTATACCGTAAACTTTTCCTTCAAATCTGACCTGGTTAACCTTGGGGATGAATTATTCCTTCAGCAAATGATCGAAGAAAGCTTCGTTTCTCGAGAGCGATTTCTCCTCGCGGAAATGAAGGAAAAACTAGGTAGCATTGCGTGGAAAATCGAAAACGAAGAAACTAAGAACCGAAGCTCGAGGAAGCGGAGAAATCTGTGCGTTTGTTTTAGAAAATACGAAATAACAACCGCGAAAGGCTCGCTACGCCACTGATTGTGGGGGTAAAACGATAGGACCGATCGATTGGTTGGTCTCACGTTCGCAGTGAACGTAATAAAACTCAACCTGGCTTGGCCACCTGGCCGCGTGTCTTTCAATGGTTCGTCTTCATCTGAATTGATCCTACTGTCTTTCTTTTAATTAATCAGCTCGTGAACGAGTGATAGATATAAATCTACGGAGATTTCGAAATAATGGTTGAACGGAGCATCGATGAAACTCCCTAGATGTTTTTGAAATCTTTTGTCAACGTTAATTCGAGCTTTGCCCAAACATGATTATGAGCTATCGTTGCAATCCCATTTCGCAATTGCCAGGATTTTTATTCGCAACGTTGATAAGCTTTCTTTTGGAGCGAGAATCGTTTGAACATCACCTACGTGATATTGAAATGTTTCAAATCTGTTTGCATGTTCGCTGAGTCAGGAAATTGATTGGACACGAGGAACGAACGTAGGATTGGCCTACTCAACTCGTTTCTGGAGACGAATAATTGCAGACTTTATTTATACCGTGTTTCATTCAGGTCTGCTAATTGTGTTTAATTGCAAGATTCAACACTGTATGCAACACACGTGTGAATTGCACGAACGTTCCATTTCGTTTTCTGCTAGCGTCAGGCTATTTGTTTTTAGTATTAATACACTGAACGATTCTTAGGTAACCCGCGATTGCTCAATTCTCAGTTCCACGGATATGCATTATTCGATCTTCTCGCGACAAACGGTCGATTTTGTTGGTTCGCGAATTTTTCGTTCGATGCAACCAATTAATTTAATCAGGCCATTGAAAGATTCCTTTCTCTCCGGACTAATATTTCAAGTAACATACCACATGAGTAATTAGAGTCGTTACGGGATTGATTAACCTATTAACCCAATCTCAGAACAGATTACGAAGCGATTTCATCGAAGGATTGCGAGTTTAGATTAGGTTTGGGGAAATGAAACAGGGGAGGAAGGGTGTATAGTGACGAGAAAGAAAGGAATGAGTAGAAAGAAGGAACGAGAGAAAGGAAATTTCTAATTAAAGAGCTGTTGGACTTTTCGATTATTCCTACAGTGTACAGTGAAGAGCAGAGTAATTATGTCAATAACACTGAAAAATTGTAAACAATTTGAACTGTAAAACCTAGTAGTCCATTTAATATCATTTTATTTTGATAATCGTGAATTCGTTTCTTTTGAAGATGATTTAACATCACGTAGTAGTGATAAGAAAGTGAAGATACACTTTTTCTCGAATATTGTAAAAATTCAAACTTGCTTGAAAATATTAAAAATTTCCTTTCTTGACTAGATCCATCATTGTTCTACAATTTTTTCCTCGTTGTCTTATTGAACGTTGAATATTAGGATTAACCGACAAGAATTCAAAAATCTCATTTTGTCATCTGACGTTTCAAATTCAATAAAACGGCGAAAGAAAAAATCGCACAGCGAGTTTCAAGAGGTCACCGTAGAGAAAACAATTTCAATCTCCAAGACCATGGTACTCGGAAGAAAGTTTTACTCGGAAGAAAGATTTTTTCATGTTTCTACACGCGGCTGAATTTTCGAGAAAAATGTGTCCTCAGTTTATCACCCGTTACGCGATGTAAAATCATTTTCGAAAAGAGCAGATTCACGGCTGTCGAAGTACAAGCCTCGTGCTTTGAAATGGACCGTCGCTTTTCACTAGGTTACGTCAGCTGAAATTATCGACAATTTTTCATTGTCATTGGTACAGTTATGCTCTTCGTTGACCACCGGAAAGAGAAGAAAATCTGCGAGACTAGATACGGAGTCTTTCGAATATCGCGTTTGCAATATTACACTTGCAAAAGTCTGAAAACGTGAAAAAGTTAAAAAGATCTAATCATCGCAGCTTGATCGTCGACATTCCAACCGACGACGATGGCAGAATTATAGATTGTCATACTTATAAATTGTGTTTGGATCGTGCCCATTTCGTTCGGGACAAGTGATCTAACGCAGTTTTCTTAGCCGTCGGAATATTAGGTCGAAGGTTAAAGCTCGTCCTAACGGAGCAACACGCGTAACATTATGTCACACTCTTCTCCTTCACTCGCCGGTGGGGGTGAGCGCTGTGATTCCGTTTTTCTGCGTTGAAACGACTTACACGCGTAGACGCGTTCCCCCGGGACGTTGTTGCGCGGGATCCTCTTTTCTCGAGGAGATTGCGGTCTCGCTTTTCCGCTACCCACGCATTATCGGCGGTGGAATGCGATGTCTAGTCGTTGGCGTTGGACTCGTAGCCCCGGGGCTGCCTCTCCTCGTCGTTATCCCTCGGTCGTGGACCGCTTATTACACCGGCGTATCGATTTCCACACGTGCGATTGCGTTACCTCGACTCTGCAGCGCGCTGTGTTAATTGCGCAAACACCGCACCGCGAGCACAGCTGTTGACCTTGGCCGATCGCCGGCCGATTTCGTCAATTGGTTTGTTAAATCGTTTGGTACAACGATTCGACGAGTAACAAACAACGTCGAAGAGTGTTCTGCTTGTTAAACGAAAGCAAAAAAAAAAAAAAAAGGAAAACTAAAAGCCGTGAATTAGATTCGTTGGACGGATAGAGATGATTTAATGGATATTTGTGCCAACGTTGCCCACCGTTGGAGAACCAGTTGGATGGTTCAAATATAGCGGCAATTAGTTGGAAGATCGTTGCTCGATCTGCTCGAATGAAATTGACCTACATCCGTAACGGAATTTGCGTTACAAAATAACGCATAACGTGCGATAAACAGAGGAGTGCAACGCGCGTAAAGAAATTAAACGGGCGGTAATTATTCGTGTACGTGTTTCTTGCTATTTGCTACGAAATTACCATCACGATCGCGAGATTGGTCGCGAGTGTGCGTAAAAGGAAAATTATTGCAAATAACGGTTTTATCACCTTTTTCCAAAAAAAAGGTGGTTAAGAAAGTGACCAATGGAGGTCGGCTTATCAAACAAATTCTTTCGATTCTTTCGAATGTGCTTTACGCGGAGTATCCGGTTTTCTGTGGAGAAATTGGTTCCACTGCAATCGAGTCGAGTAAAGATATGACGAAAGAGAGCAAAGAACGTGCATGCACCAATTAACATTACGTTTCATGGGTTTAATCGTTGAGAGAACTGTCTCGTTTTACTCACCATTCTGATGTAAGTGCCGATCATCTCCGTTAGCTGTGGCGCTCGATTTGTGTGCAAGGGTAGCCTGACACCCGATGCGATGTGCATCACGCACACGCCAGCCCTCGGAGAACTCACTGAGACAATCTCCTCCAGCGGCAGTGTCTCCAAAATGACTAAATCGCCGTTTGGTGTACGCTTTATGAGCCGAAGGCCGTGATGAGACACCGCCACGTGTTGGGTTTCTGGGTGTTGCGGGCCGATCTGGATAAAAAGTCGTGAAAAGCAGATTATCGTACAGTTACACTATCGTACCGATAGTGTCAAATGTAGCTTTCAAAAAAATATTTCTTTTTTTCTTTTCATCGGCAATCGTCGATGTTGAAGCTAAACGGAGCGACGAGAAAGAGATGGCACAAAAGAACTGAGAAAGCTCCTTTGAGCGTCTCAAAGTTGAGCCAACGGTAAGACCTCGGTACGCCAGCACAATCGACCGACCGATTTTAATTCGACCATCACGTTTTCTTTTCGACAACTTTCCACTCCGGTATGCTACGTGTGATTAACCATGTATAAACAGCAGGGTAATTGTTGGGTGCAATTAGCCGCGGTTAGGTGTAGTTGCGTGTATACTTGCTAAAAGTAAGTACGTAACGAATTTAAATTTGTGCCGGATTTTTCTGTCCAATTTGTTCCAGTTCACGTGAAGTCGTGAGATAGTTTACTCACCGATACCGGGAATATCCTGGCAAAGTACAGCGGCCATTGTTTGGCCATGTCGACGACGTTTTTCTTTATCGTGATTTTGTGCTGAGTACTCTGCAAATTGTCCAGGGTGATGCCGTAATTGTCCAACATTTTGAGCATGTTCTGCCTGTCCTCCTTCGTGATTCGGATGTTAGACGTGGCGAGAACGTCGTAAGCCACCTGACAAAACACCAGATGAAGCGCCAGAGGGCTGTTCAACGTCTCGTTGGGAGCGAACACCTCCTTCTTCACCCTCAGCGTCCACGTCACCCTGTTGTACGTGAAATGAGCCGTGGACGTTTGAGGGTAAAGCTTCGTGTTGACGACCTCCTGCACCTTTTCTATCTCTGGCTTCTCTGCCGGTGGCATCACCGGTCGGAGGAACTCGGGCCATTCTTCAATCTCGATCCTCTCCATCTTGTCGGTGCGATGGGTCGAGGCGACGCTGGATCTTCTGTCCATGTCGCGGTCCAGTTTCTTGAAGCTCTGACGAGCAGCGGCGAACGATTCCCTCGTGTTCGGCATCAGGCCAAAGTCACGCGTCGACGGCATGCCGAAGCTGTCCCTCGACTTTGGCGACACGTCCCTGGCCATGCCGAACGGATCTCTCTTCGAGCTTGTGTTCTCGAATATGTCTCTCGCGTACTTGGGATCGAAGATGTCGGAGCTCAAGTCGCGGCGAGAGTCGAAGTCGGAGCTCCTGTCTCTGGCGGAGCTGGCCAGATCCGTGCTGTCCTTCCCGTAAAAGTCCTTGGACTTTTGGTCCTGCGATCGCGGCTTGTCGAAGTCGTTTCTGTACTCGTGATTCTCTCTCAGGTGCTGCTGGGACGCGAATATGTCCCTGCTCTGGCTGAACATGTCGCGTTGGGTCTTGGAGAAGTGGTCGAACGCCTCGGAGTCGGGGGACGTTCTGAAGGAATCTCGGGTTTTCGGCTCGATTGGGACCGGGGGCGATCTCGGTTGCGGTACACCCGATTGGCTGAAGGAAAAGAAAAATTCCAATATTCGTGAATTCTTTTGAAGTAGTTTGAAATCTACGATTCTACTAGTTGGGTTTGGTTTTCGATTATAGCGCTTTATCGTCATCAGTCAATCGTATCGATACTTCCTCTGCTAATTACTTTCTTTTCAGTTACATCTAGGCAGATGTAACTTTTGTTTTATCTACTTTTATTTTGATACTTCCATATACACCAGTGGATACAAAAGGATTAATTAACATTTCCATGAATTGAACGAAGAATTTATTTTAGTAAATAAAAATATAATAGTGCAATTTCACTTGGGCAAAATTATAAGATACTGACAAAAAAAAAAAAAAAATGTAACAAAACAAAAGTAGTCTTGATAATTAAACGAAATTTTCGAGTCTCTTTTTAATGTTAATAGTGGATTAATCCTCCTCTATTTCGATCATTCGATTTTATATAATAAAAAAGTAATTACACGAAGAAAGCGCTATGGCACTAAAACGGTTAAAAATTTCAAGGTAACGCGTGTATATAATAGTGAGTAACAAACAAGTAGTGGACAAAAGAGGAGAATACCTATTGCTGTACATGCTTCCACCACGTGGACTAGGGGGTTGCGGAGGTGTGACCGGAAGCGGAGGTGGCACAGGCCTCTCCATTCTCTCGATCTGCGTTCTGACAACTTGCGCTTGAGTCATCATGTCGGTCGTGCCTTTCGAAGTGACGCTTTGCGTGTCATCAGCCGTGGATGCATAATCGTCCCATCGTCCTCCTTTAACGCGTATCAACGACATCAGATATCACTGAATCATACTTATCCACGGTTTTCCACTCGTAGGAGAAACGTCGTTTCATCGAAATATTACCTAGCTGCTGTTCGAGCAAAAGTTTCCTGTTGTCCTCCAAACGTTTCACTTTGCCATCCTCGCGCGGCAGGGCAGGCTTCTCCGTGGTTTTCGTAGATCTAACGCTGTGATTCGCCGTCACCTTTTCCAATCGTTGTCTCATTTCCGAACTGAGCTTCAGTTTCCCTATACTCCCTGGCGATGGCCTCTGCGCCCCTACTTCCAACGCGGACCTGCAGGAGAAACGTCGATCGAACGTTAAACACCGATTGTCGAGCGCAACAATGGGAAAAATACGTGAGCAGGAGGGGAAAGAAAGAAAAAGCATCGGACTTTGACTTTTTCTTCTTCTTCTCCCCTTCCTCTTTGTATCCGTTCTCCACGTGTTTCGCGGCCGGAGCTGGCGCGTGATTCACCACCGTCTTCTCGTTGCTCTCCACGATGTTCTCGATCTCGAATTCCTCCCATTCGACGCCGCCCTCCGTGCTCGGCTCTCCCTCGCCCTGATTGTACTCCTGATACTGAGGCGTGATCTTGCGCTGCTGTTGCTGCTGCCTCATTTTGAACTCTATGAAGCTGTCCTGACTTTGGTTCTCGTTCGAGTCGCTCGGCGGTGGCCACCTAAGGCGAGACGAACGCGAAAGTTAACAATCCGAGTTATCTGAAACGGAATCGAGTCCGATTGAAACGTTCACTCGAATCGTTCACCTCCATTTGCCGATTCGAACGGTCTTCGCTCTTCCGTAAGGATCGAGGAAAGGCCTCGACTCCGAAGGGTCGTGCGACTCCAATGGCGGCGGCATAGGGGGCGGGGGCGGCACACCACCCTTGTTGTTACTCGAACTCGACAGGTTACTGTCCACGCTGCTCTTGCGATTTTTCAGCTCGCTCAGCACGTTCGTGAAGTTGTTCTGCACGTTGCTTTTGTTGCTGGGGTTGACTCTCTTTGCATCGGTGGCACCCGGTGACTTCTTGTCACCGACCTTCCTGTCGAGGCTGACCTTCCTCACCGCGTACTCCACGCTGGTTTTCCTCACGATTTCCGAGTTCTTTCGCGGCGGGCTTTGAGACCGATGAATCTGGGCCTTCACCGTCATCTCCTGTCGCTGGTTGTTCGTCGCCGATTGCGGCGTTCCTTGTTTCTCCGTCGACCAAAGTTCGCCATCCTCCGGCTCTCGGAACGACACCTAGCAACGTCAAGTTCTACTCTGTAATCCCGGTTTCTCTCGTTCGCTCTCGATACAGTTTTCTATACAGAGTTTTTCGATTTAGAGTTCACGATCGTTTATAAGGCAAGCATGCTCGAAACGATCTCGCTCGTGCTCGTTTATGTACAGTGCCGTGAAAAATTGCGGACTCGTACGAACCTCCTTCCTGCGCTCGCGGTCCAATATTTCTTTGCCGATAATATCTCTCTCTTAATATCAGGTAAGAGAAAGGAACGCGAATGCAACAGGAGGATCGCAGAGGAGGATCGTGACTCATCATCGGTTGGATTTTTATCTTCTTTTTATTAGACGTAATACGGCCTTCTAATACGCGAGCAGCTAGTAATTACAGACCAGTCACTTCTCGCGCGAATCACACTCAAAGAATTATCAAATGTAACGACTATCCTTCCGTTGATGCGTTTCGTTATTGTGCTCGGTCACAACTGAGAGTTTCTTGAACCCACATTCTCCCACACCACTGTACCGCTCGACATAGTCGAATTTTCCCCACAACCAGTTAATTTCTTTCTAACATATGTTACAAGACGTTGCCGACACGTTGATCTATCAACAAGTCGTTTAACACTACCAGACGACCAGATAGTTTCAAAGCGTAACTTTCACCAGCTGACTTCCGACAAGAACTAACAAAATTAATAAAGTATGTTTTCTTCGTAAGTAGAAGGAAATGACTTGATTCAAGAACGAACATTTCGGATCGTAACAGCTGTAAAGGATGAAAGTGTAAAGGAGAAAAAAAATTGTTATCCAAGGCTATGAGAAGCCAAATTGAATGTTAAAAAAATTTTTTGAAAAAAAGGAAAACTTGTCCAAAAAGGGCAAAAAAAAAAAAAAATCGTACAACTTTAAAGTAAAATTTTCGAAAAATTTTACGTTTTTCTATCACTTTTCAATTTATCGAGTCAATCGATTCTGTTGCGTCACTGGTCGTCATAGCGTTTAAACGAGTCGTTGAAGTTATCACTCGGTCGGCGAGTCGATCGACGGATTTTATTCGTTAGATGAAATCAGTAGGTACCTTGGAGTAGCGTCCAATAGAATCATTGGGCCCCATTTGGGCACCGTTTTGAGGGGCTGAGGGGACAAGATTCATACTGGAGGGGCCTGCGGACAACACCGTGCCCTGGAAACACACACCCATGCCGCGATGCGGCTCAGAAGCCCACAGGATCGTCCCAGAAGGACATGATTCTTTTTTTTTTTTTGTTTGTTTTTTATTTAAATTGGCGAGTGATGGGCAAACACTGAAGCTGTACGTGTAGCTGGTATGTTGCGCAACACCGGTCGTGTTAGTACTTAGTTATGTGATCGTGAAAGTGACGCACGAAAACGACGGCCATCGTTCGTCGTCTCGCTGTGATGACACTTAACATGCAATTCTCAGCTTATACAGATGTTACGACATCCGGTGTCGGTATTATTGTGCGATAAGGTAACGCTGTGTAATCAATTATCCAAGTGGGTCTTTCGCCTGTACAGAGTATTATCGTGATGTTTGTGTTCATTGTCTTCACTTCGATTATTTTCTGGGACAATTCGCTTAGACTTATTCTCGGGATCAAATTAATTGTCGCGCAATCGCCAGAGATTGCACGCTCGGACATAGTCCCAGAAAATAATCTGAAGGAGGTTACGTACGATTGTGTTGGACAACTTGGATTATTATTTGCGAAGCAATTTCTCACCGGTTGCTGCGACGAGTTCTGAGGGCTCTGCACGAGCAGCTGTTGAAGAGCTTGGTTCTGCGCGAGTAGCTGCTGTTGAATCTGTATGTTCTGCGCCATGGCGCTCTGCAGGAACGCACGTTGCAGATTCTGCTGATAGGCCATCATGTCGTTATTCTGACTGGGCGGTGAACTCGTGTATTGAGGGAGGCTGAGCCCTTGCATGCTGTAAATCGGTATCGGCATGAACCCGGCGCTCATGTTCATGCTGGTGCTCTGCGCCGGTGGCACTTGCTGCGGTGTACTGAACATTGGCATCATCATCGGCGGTGACATCATTCCCGGCGTAATGGCGCCAAAGTTGAAAGTCGCGTTCTGATTCGGTATGTCCATGTTACCACCGCCTTTGATCCTCTCGGACAGTTCTTTCGCCGTCAGGATGTCACTTTCTCTTGTGTCGTTCCTTCTGATCATCGTTTCGATGAAATCTTCCACAGTCTTCGGCTCGAGTTCCCTCTCGAAATTTTCAACAATTATAGCATCACTCTGGAGAGACCTGTCGTCCTTCGTGCCCTTGATGCTAGCTGCCAAGCTTCTCGCGTCGGACAACTCGTCCAAATTCCCGTCTAGAACCGGCATGAACAACTCGTCCAGGAACTGATCCACGTCTGACGCTTGACTAGGTACCCTGACTCGTCTCACGTGCGACGCCAGGGATGGTGCCTCGCTCGTGTCAGACATCGCCGACGATTTTACGCCGTACTCGCTTTTCTCGATGTAGGCGCGGCTCGACTGACTGCCTGGCAGCGCTCGTTTACCTTCGAAACACAAGAGTCTATTGATTTATTTAAATTCTCGGCAGGCAGACGTTGTCTCGTTATGTTGGATAAGAGATAAAGTATGACGTGAAGCAATGTTGGTAATTCGAGATAAGAGGATCGTTATTGATCCTTATCACCAGATTTGAATATAGGCGTGACTAGTTTTCCATTGTATAGGAAAATACCCGCTTCGACTGATTTCTTTCACTTGTTCCAAGTAAAAAAAAAAAAAAAAATAATATATTCTAAATAAATATTCTATTAAGGATATACAATTCTCGATTCAGCTTAAAACTAGAATGATCAAAATCACCAATTCGTAATTTTTTTACAACTAGATTTACAATTTAGTTTTCGAATATATTGACTGATTTATTCTTTTGGTCAAAGGTTTCGCACTTTGGTCGTCGATGTTCCTAATGTTTCCTTTTATCGTTTATACTCACCGGGATATTGAGATTTAATGAACCTAGTCTGTGATCGTATGTAACTGCTCTTGTCATCCTCAGATCTGCCGGTTTGGCTGACCGACTGAATATCAGGATACTCGAAGTCGATCGTTAGATCCTCTTCCTCGATGTTCGGCTCCGTTGTCCTGGTTATTCTACTGTACTTCCTCTCTTGCGTGATCTCGTTTCTCGTCATGTACTCCACGTTACTGACCGCCGATGTCTCGCCGATTCTTTCAAGGCTGTGATACCGTTCGTTCAATCTCGACGAGGATAATCCAAGATTCGCTAGCTTCACCGGCGGTGACACAACTTCCGGTTGAAGTAGGTTGTCCAAGCTACGGCTACGTTGCTTCTCTTTCTCGAAGTATCTGTCGTTCAGAGCGGATTTCCGCGACAGCCCGGTCTCCGTTGTGCTCTCCAATATGGCTTCGTGCGACTGTTTCCTCATCTGAGCAGCAGACTCGGTTAAAAATTCAATGATTTCACCAAGAAAATCATAATTGATTTCCATTGTAAATTTGAAGACTATTGATTGATAAAAAGATCGTTTAACTTTGAAGTGCACGTTGATGAATAGTGATCTTCAATATCTGTGATTTTCCATAAATTTTCAATGTAAAAGAATCGATATTAACCCTTTTGCGGCTATTATATATTATACACAATTATACAATATATAATATCTACGTATTACTAAATTGTATTATCCCTCCAATTTAATTTTCAATAAATTTCAATAATTTTAACTTTTATCATTCTATTCTAGAAATGTTCTTATCGATTGTAAAATTAGTACACATGCGTAAAATAGTACTGAAAATGAAAAGAAAGTATGTATTTCCAGTACAAATGTGTCTAACGGAACAATACTGACTTGATTAGTATCATCGTCGTGATAAAAAGAAATATCGTTTGTAATATCGTCAAACGTTAAAGAGAATTTAATTTACCGATGGCTTGGCGACTGGTGGCTGTGGCGGAGGAACAGCCGGTCTTCTGGGCGATTGAATTTCCGGTTCGACAGGTTTGTCCATAACCTTCGATACTGGTTTCCGCTCGAGGGGCTGGAACGTTTTTAGAACCGGTGGCTCTATTTCCTGCTCCAGCTCGCGAATTATGTGCGCGTGCTAAATAAACCAGCGAGAATTTTATTGTAACGATCGGAGGCTGAATTCCACCAGTTCCAGAACCGAATACTGAAAAAAAACCGCTCGTAAAACTCACTTCTCGCTTCTTGATCGGGGGGAAACTGTTCTTTCGTTGCTCGAGGAACATGTGTTTAGCAGCGGGGAACGCTGGCGCTAGTTCCAACTCTGAAATTAAATCCAGAACGTAGTCGAAACCATTAGTTTCCGTCACGATTGCGTCTGGGCCGTCCAGTTGATTCCACAAAGTGATCGTCCATCCTGAATTATCGACGCCGTGATTGTGAACAGCCAGGTTGGCTAATTCCTCGCAAGTCGTCCAAGAGTCCACTGCGCAGGTCACCGTTTCGCCTGGAAATAGTCGGCGAACAATATTAGTTTTAACAAATCTACAGTCTTCTACAAATATGATAAAAAAAAGAAAAGTATGATGTATCAGTTTTCGGGATATCAATTTTTATTCTTAAATTAATATAATAGGGTGTCTAATCCTAGTTTATTATTTAATTTCAATATATTTTAATATAAAAAAATTTATACTATTAATATTAATTCAAATTTCACCTAAAATTAGTAAATTTAATATAACAGTTATTTTTACTATAACAAAATTAATAAATTATTAATTTTTAATATAAGTTTATTGCTGGCACCTTAATTTTTAATATAAGTTTATTGCTGGCCCTGTTTAATCTTCATTAAATTATATAGAATTTTTTAATTAATTTTATTATATATATATATATATATATATATATATTTAACATAAATAATTTAGCCATAATTATATTTAAATTGGAATCACAATTTTTTTTTCACTCGCGTCTGAAAATTTTCGAAAAATAAAAACTACTCACCGTCGTAGAATCCTACGCTCAGAGCCATGTTCACGCGATTCCTGTTCGCTCTCCACTCCAACACGCACGGCGGATAGTTCCTCGGTACGTGATGAACGATTTGCTGATTGTTGCTCGTTACCCTGAATATCGTCCTCTCCCCCTGAAGAAGCTTCCTCTGGCAGTAAGCTTTGTAGCCGTCGTATGCGTGATCGGACACGTACTTGAGGAAGTACTTGAACAAAGTGGAGCTGGGTTGAAAGGCGGACAAACAGTTGGACAGCAGTAGCCAGCCTCTCTCTTTGTTAGCGTCGTTCTCGTTCTTCCACGTTTGATTGGCCAGCTGACAGAGGATCTCGTCCCTCAGTTTCTCATTGACGATCCCCTTGTTCACGATGTAATCGCCCAATGCCTGTTCCCTCTTGCCGCTCAGGTTGTTCTCGTTCATAAAACGGAGGATCATTTTGAAGATCATCAACGAGTCGGTGTAATCCTGGTCGCGAGCTTTCGCCAGGAACGGTGTCTTTATCGGTTCACGTTTCATCCCGAAGATGTGGCTCTTGAAGTAAATGTTGGTGAACTTGGAGAACTGATGTTGATCGATGTCGTTCGGCAAACCGTAATTATGGTGCATGGGTATCACTTGGCCGACCACCTTTAGAAGATTCCTCTCTGTATGCGTGGGTTGCCAATCTGCAACGACGAACGTGTCGAGTTAAATTATTTTTATCTTCAACGTGAGGAGTTACAGTCGGGAGTAACTTCTGACAAATACCGTCGAGTTTGCTGTAAATGAAAGCGAGTTCAGCAGGAATTTCTAAATGATTAACACCGGCCACTGCTCTGGAGGTCCTTTCCTGCTCCTCTCTCTGCTGCTTCGCTTTGGCTCGTTCCTTACTGGCACGCTCGATCTCCGCCCTCTTCGCCATTTCCTCTTTCAGCACCTTGAACTTCTCACGCTGCTTCTTCCCCCTGTACATCTTCTGCGCCATGAGTACGCCTCTCTTCAACGCGTTGAACTTCTTCCTCTCGCGGTAGCCGCGGTAAACAGCCTGGATCAGTACCGTGCTTCGTGAGATGTTGAGGAACCTTCTTCTCGCGAGGAATCCTCTCGTGTACCTGCGCGCATACAATGGACAATTAATTATAACTACGTGTTACGTTAGCCACGGCTCACGTGTTTTTATACTCTGTGTTTTCACTCTCCGTGTTACAATGGAACGAAAAAAATCTTTCAACAAGTTCGGTAGAATATTAGCACATTTTCCTGTTAAAATTATTTCTTGGAAAAAATCATCTGTAGATCGGTAGAAAAGCGTAATTGGGCGGAGAATTATTTAGGAGGCATAGTACGATTAATCAAGGTATTTAAAAAATTTCGAATCTAATCTGAAAAATTACATTTTACTGGGCACGCTACCTCTGAACGGTTATGGCTGCCCTCTCCAAAATCAGCGCCCTGTTGTACTCCAGAGTTCTCTCCAGGGATTCCCTCAGGAACACCCTGGTGAGTCCGAGCTGATACTGGGACTGCGCGTCCTTCGGCGCGGCTTTGTCCAAAATCAAGCGGCAGAGCTCCTTGTTCGGCGCACCTCTGGGCAGATGCGTGGAAACGAGGTACCGATATCGGTCCACGAAGTGTCCGAAAAGAAGCCGAACCGGGTAGCCAGTCTTCCGAATGCGAATCGTCTCGAGCATCCCCGTGTAACGTAACTGCTCCAGCACGCACGGCATGTCGAATTTCATCGGCGCCTTCTCCGTGTTTGGCTTGATGCACCGGACGAACCATGGATTGCATCTGAAATCGGAATAACGAACGATTAAACGATTAAGAAAAAAGAAAAACGAGCGAGAACGTTGGTTGACCGAGAGGAGAAAAGTCTGACTTTCGATCCAGTGACGATCTACGTAATTTCAAATTCGTCTGGAAACTTTAGAAAGACCGAGGAGCGAGTATTTGTATCTCAAGTCAAGGGGTGAAATTTGAATGAAAAAAGGTTCCTACTGAGACATGGAGTCCAACAGTTGCTGCAGACTGTCGTGGAATCTGGCAGACACGGTCGGCGTCCTTGGTTTCATGGTGACGAATCTGCCGTTTGGTTTGTTCATAGTTTTATTCGCCTCGTGAGCCGTCCTCACATGCTGGAACATTTTGCTGACCATCTGAGAAGCAAATCGTCGATCAAAAAATCGAGTAATTGTCGATCGGCGAATTTAATTGGAAGAGAGAGAGAGAGAGAGAGAGAGAGAGAGAGAGAGAGAGAGAGAGAGAGAGAGAGAGAGAGAGAGAGAGAGAGAGAAAAA